TAATACTGCTTGAGCGCCTTCGTCATGCAGAGGCCTTTACATACAGGGGATTCTAGTCTGAGTCCTCTGATCCTCAAATTCTCGCGGATCGCTTGGACCTCTCGGAGTTGTGCCCGATTGCGCGGCGTACGTCGCGTATGCCTCCTAGGCCGCGCAATCTGTCCAAACCCTCAACGCGTTCACCCTCAGTGGATGAGGTGTTCCCACGCTTGAGGCTTGTGAAATACTTTTCTTTCGGTAGTGACCGACGAGCTTGGAAGAATGCCTTAAATGCCTGCCTGTTAGCAGACGCTCGAGTGATTTTCTGTTCAACCGGGTTCTTGCACGACCAGGCCCTCACCTTCGCGCATCTTGGGCGTAACGCTAGTGTGCCAGGATTACAAACTGTACGGGAACATTCACCCGAGCGGAAGAGAGACATACCGCCCCTGGTATAAAGTGTGATCTTTCCATCATAGACATCGCAAGAAAAATCCTTTCAAAATTTTTTGATTTGTTTGAGGGTATAAATGATTGGAGGAATGAATACCATGCCTTGGAAGCAAAAGCTGAAGCGAGATTGTACGGAAGACCCTACTTGAGAGTCATGTAAGTATCATTTTGGGCTATTCAGGAAAAATCCCATTTCCTACCTCAACGCTTCCATTTACAGTAATCTGGACCTGTTCGATCGTCTTTGTGATGAAGTATTGATTGCACTTGATGCAACAGCAGTTTCGATGGCGTCGCTGCGCAGCACACCGGACAACAACGAAAAGCAAAACGACAAGAGCCGAGAGAAAGAAGTCGAGGATAAACTTAACAGTCTTCGTGAAGCAGCAGGAAAGAATAAATCAAAGGTCGCATCTGGTGCGGTTAAGAAAACGAATACGAGAAGTACAGCCGAGAAGAATCAACCACAAAAGCAGAAAACAGAACCCCCAAAAAAAGAAGACGGGAAAGCTAGTTAAAACGTTACTCGATTTCAATTAGGCTGCTAAATTAAATTATTGAGACAAGAGACAAGACAATGATCATTTAACTATTATACAAAATTATTAAGGTGAGACTCTCATTGTTTCACCGTTGATACTAACACAGTCCCATAGTTAATCTTATTTCTCCTTTATTGATACATAGTGCTTTGAAAGATGAAGACTGCATGAACAAGTGTGAATAAAACGTTGTTCAAATTTTCTTCGC